AAAAATGGCGGCTAATACACATGTTTTCACACGTGCAACGTAACCCATGGTTGATATAAGTGGTACAAAATTAAAGGAATGTTATATGTCTTTGATGTTTCGGTATTCTCTATTATACTTATTTTTTACGTGTATAAATTACTGTACACATTTTATCGATAAGCTGTGTTAACTCTTTCCGGCACAGTGGGATATACACAATCCCACCAAAAACGGTGGGACAACTATCATAACATCTATAATTTTTTTTTCTTTTTTCCAGTCGTTTATTTATCTTATTTTAGATTGTTAATGTATTTCCTCTTACATATATCTTGAGCATATATAATTCTGGAAGGCTTACATTATTAAATATAGATTAAATAATTGTCTTAAATTATTATATTGAGAAAATTATTGTTATTTAGTAATTTTAAATAATGTAAATTGTTATACAATAATAGTGTAGAATATTTTTAAATCATCGTGCATGAAATAGTTAATATGATTATACTTAATCGAAAATATAAAACAAGTCTTATGCATATACATTACCAAATAAATTTAATTAAAATATACAATCAAAATTCACCATAAATGATTACCTAAAAAATTCGTAGGTACGCATACATAAAATATACAATTTTCATGTTTACATATAAAGAATTTACGGTTAAATGTCGGACTTTCTTATGTTTTTAGTTTGTTACGGCACTAGTCAGCACTTAGTTTTACACCTTGAAACGAGTAAAATCAAATAATGATTTAATCCCAAGGTTAATTATGCAGTGAGCAACTACATTTATTTGTAATAAACAATTCACATAAAAATATATTAGACAAACTGCTATAATTATGATCGCCAAAATATTCATTATTCATACCTGAATTATTCAGCCAATAACGTATTTAGAGTAACATGGATTGAAGATTTAGCATTTCAGTATGTACAACATGAACTATAATAATATTGATACCTACCTATTTTGGCGTTTCAATTCCTCTAATGTAAATATTTAATTATTTATTAAGAAATTACAAATCTTACTAATGAATTGTTTATTGCATTGATATATATATATATATTCACTCGTGCGATCAAAAAAAAGTTCAGGTTATACATATATTATAACTGTACACCATCCACCGGTATTTTAGCTGTTTGCAGAACGAAGTGACAAAGACCAAATGCATATCTTAGTGACTCAGTGGCCGTTTCAGCTCTTATTCCACACAGAATAACTTATTTTCACATAATTTGTACTGAATTGTAGGTGATATTCAAGGGGTTTTAATTTGAAATAATTAAAGTGTAAATGGGAACGTAAACTTGGAGACACCAGTGAATTCTGAATAATTTGGTTTTTAAAATGTGCATTGTAATCGGAATTGAAAAATAAACAAATACTACAACACATCATATTGTGTTCATTTCAATTTAAATTTTACTTATTGCAAAAATCTATTTATATTCCATTAGTGAAATTAACATAATTGAAATAGTTCGAGCAAACATATTAGCAAGGAGAGGGGTTTTAACTTACATTTTAATGTAGTAAGGTACATGTTAAAAATTACACTACTTGTAAATAATTAGTAAATACAATAAATGTATCGCCATACTATGTTATATTAAAAAATATTACATTGTGTAACTACTAACCATGACCTATTGTATAACTCAATTTTTATTTTATATTTTAAATAAATTTCTATTTTTTTTTTTATATTAATCATATATTTATAGGTTACAGAGAAATAAATAATTATTAATTTGATAATAGTCTTAATCATGGAAATAATTTATTTAATTTTATTAAAATTATTAAACGAAACTAAATAAAAACTGTTTACTTACATAAGCATTATGTACATAATGTTACATGGAAATTTAAAAATAACGTAGATTTTATTGTTTTGAAATTATTCAAAGAAGAAACAATTCTCGAATATTGTCGATAGACCATTAAAAACGAAGCATAACCTTTATTGTCACTTTCATTCATAAACAATGATGTTTAATAATACAATTAGAAGGCGTACTAAGAACAAAAAATAATTCAAATATTCTGTAGGTCACTTGGATGACTTCATTTATTCGTATAAGTTTTTTAATCAAAAACGAGTGATACCAAATTTGTTTTAAATTGCTGATATAATTTTACCTTTCGAAAGTTTTATCATTAAAAACCAACCCATATACATTAATTTACATTTATATTATAAAATATAAAAAATAAAATAATAAATAAATAATCTTAATTAATGAATTAACTCAATTTTTTTTTTTTTTGTATGCAATCATTGAATGAGTTAAGAATTTAATAATTTAAGATACAATTTATTGTACTAAACACAAACATCAAATATTAATGACCGAATTAATTTGAGTGATACATACAATGGTTGCATTAAATTAATATTAGAATACTACGACAGTTGTTTAATATCTACTTTATTATTGAAGTATTTATCTACCCGTCGAATCACATGCATACATTTTATTAGACAGCAAACGTAAAAATAAATTTGACATTTAAGAAAAGCCGAGTAACTTAAGTGATGGAAATACTACATTTCTAATAACAAAGAATAAAAATTATTATTAATATATGTTTTATTGTTTAATTTTTCCCCCAATAAATAGGTAAATGAAATACGAGAAAACTAGTAAAAACTTCTATTCGTGCACAAATAACATTCAAAATAAATTAACAATATTCGTGACACACGTTATTAAATATGGTACGTAGATAATCAACTCAAACTAATTTTTACTCCTTCCGCTTTAAATTTAAATTGGTTTACCAAACCAATTTGTTTTCATATTTGTATTGTGATCATATTATTTTTTAATACTGTTTGTAACTCAAAATAATGTTATTTTTATGTCATTCCGCTATTTTTTCCTTTTTATTTTGTTATTCTTGATACTTTAACGTCCTTCTTAAAGTACTTTTTACGGCTTACATATTTTCTTTTTTTCTCGTCTGAGCTGCTACCCCATGTAGGTATAACAATACATTTCTTACATAATTTTATTTTAATACAACAATGAATAATCTTTAATTAAGTGACTAAGGTTATTAACATAACAAATCACATTAAAATATTGAATACGTATAAATAAACAAGGCTAATAAGCAATTGTTCGAGAACATATAAAAATATTGAAAATATTGTAACTTTATGATTATTTCAATGTTTTGTATTAAATGAATTAAGTAATATATCAGATTGATAAATTTAATAATGATTCGGGTTATATTATAACATACTTATATAATAGATAGCGTTAAAATTGTATCATTTTTATAGGTGTAATGTAAATCACATTTAGTTTTAGTCATATACATATTAGTTTGATTGAGGGTATTTTAGTTTTTAATAGTTATATTTTAGAAATTTTTTAAAACATGGAATTTTTTCTGTGTATTTTGGAGGAAAAAAATAAAAAAAACATCAAACAAATTATAATAAAGTATTAATACAAGTATTTCATATTTGTTTTTAAACATTATAAGTACACACAATTCACAGAAAATGACACTCCTATAAATGTTTTATACACTTTGTTTTGTATTGAGTAAAAAATAAAGTAAAAACAATATTTAATAATTTTTTTTTAATAATGAAGCATGATGGCTAGACTTTTATCTTGCATATTTCAGTATCTATATAAAATTTATATTATAATATTAATATAGTAAATGTTGTTTAGAGAAATAAAAATAAAACGAAAGACGACAAGTATTAATTACATTAGAAGCAAGAATATACAATTAGAGTAATAATAAATCGGTCTGATTTCGTTTGAGAAATTACTTAACCCGAGAAATTCGTATCGGAAAAAATATTCTCGATTCGCGTTTTGAGTTATGAGGCAATTAGCAAATGTAAATCGACTTCCCTATCCGTCGTATTTTTTTCCCCCTGTGAAGAAGAAAAAATAAAAAACTAAACAAACTCGTTTTGAGTTTATTTGCACTCTCTCGGTATAAGCATAAATAAATATGCGATATCCCACGCGTTTATAATGCTCCCGGTTACGGGGTTATATACCAGAGAACGTACAAACACGCACACGTAGAAAGCAGAAATAATTGACATCTGTTAACCGTATCGGGTTGTACACCCTGCAGGCCGACGGGAGTCTTCTCGTTCGGCAGAGGTAAGGACACACACGTTCACGTGGACTTGCCGCGGAACGTATGGTGGCAGCGGCGGCGGTCACCGTATACAATTTACTTACCAACCCCGCGGGGTCATGGAAAGGGATGAAGGTGAAGGGCTGTTAATGCGCGTTTAGCCGGCGGCAACGACAAATGTTTTATGCGCGCGGACTACGGTTAAATTCAGATTTATTGGCCGCCAGGGCGCAGTTAAAATCGGATACGGTTGGAAATCCATTCGGGCAAATGGTCTCGGGGCAGACGGCGCGCGAGGGAAAACGCGGTGCGGATAGGACATACGATTTTTCCGCGATATCGAACGGTACATTATGTATACGAACTCGTGATACCTGTATTGGTGTGCATATATATATACATGTAATACAATGCCATTCGAAAGGACGAATTTGCGAGAAAATATTTATTTTTTATTTTTTTCATTTTGTGCCGCACCCGTCCGATTTTGAATAAACAATAACGATAATTTACAGGTTAATTGAATTGGATAAGTTTTATTTTTATTTTTATCTCCCCTTCCGTACCAGAAATGTATATATGTGTATGTGCGCGTAAATAAACGCGTTCGTATTATATTTTAGTACACTTTGTATGCGATCGGACAAAAAACAAACGTAATAATAATGATATTATCCCGGATAGGACAATGGCGTGCAGTGTGAACTTTACGGTCCACGGGAGTCGCCGCCGCCGCCATCGACGGCTGGAGTACGACGATAATGTGAAAGCCGATAAAAGCTGACTTAACGCATCGGTACATTTACCACGGTGGACGCGTTGTCGCGGAATGAGACGCGCAATATTCACGCTTTTTAAAATATGTATACAATATTTTAATAATAATAATAATATTGGTTTTTATTGCACGACGGAAAACGAAATAAAACGGATTGATCGCAAGAATCGAGTACTTATGGTACGGCAAAAGTAAACGGATGCCGGAGAAGAAGAAGAGAACTAGAGGAGCGAAGTAAAACATAAAAGGAAGAAGCGGTGGAAAACATTAAACGACCGGACTTTGCACCGACCGCGATGGCGACGGAAATCACATGTGCAGGCGGTGCCGTGCGTCGGAGCCTCGAGGATAAAGTTACTTTTAGGAGCATCGGATCTCTAGATTTAGTATGTATCTATTTAGTGATGTATCTGGCAATACATCGAATAACGCATTACGACCGCGATCAATTTTAATAATTGTTTTGAGTTATGTTGAGTTACGGAAGGATTGCAGATCGGAAGTTTCGCGCCCGGCCACTGGCCGCGAGACATCGGTCCGGCACCGGCTACGTGAGTTATATGAACTATTTACAACAATTATAAACACTATCGTCCGGGGTGGCACTTGTCCGGTCAACGGATGTTGCTGGAGTACTCGTACTTGTCCGCGTACCCGTGGTCGATGATGTGCCGCACCGTGGCCGAGAGGATGTCGGTTATCTTGCCGTCGGCCGCGTCTAGCCGCGAGACCAGCATTTCCTCGACCGTAGCGTTCTCGTCGTCCGCGTCCAGCAGCTCGTGCGGATTGTCGTTGATCATGTACGGCACGGCGAACAGCAGGTGCGCGTAACCGTAGAACGCGTGGAACCGGAGCTCGTGGTGCAGCTGGTCCATGGTGGGCGCTTTCACGTCGTCCGGCAGCACGGTCACCAGCGACTCCAGGTACACCGTCAGCAAGTCCTCCCACCGGTTGTTCTGCACGTCCCGGTCCGCGTTCTTGTACAAGAAGTACGACAGGTCCAGTCCCGGCGAACCGTACCTGCGAACCCGCGGGTAGAAACAGATGAAATATTGAAATTATTCGTCGTTGGGTGTACCGCGGTCGGTTTTTACCGAACGCATTTATCGACCAGCCGGTTAACGCGAACGTCAACGGTCGGGTCTTGATTTTCGACCTAATGAGCCGCCGATTCGAAACTCGGTTTAAAAGCCGGCCGACGCGAAACCAACGAATTCGATTTGCTTTTAAATACGTTGAATACGTCGATTTTTTGTTGATCGAAAAGTCGAAGCAGAAAGTTTACGGGCAGCAACAATATCTATCTAACCATGGATTCATTTTGCTTTAGCTACCCTTCGCGGTTTCTATTTCATTAACCATGTAATCGTATGTTACCGCCCTATTATTCTGTTATGTATTGAATATTTATTATACTTTTTTTTATGGATTATCAATCAAAACCTCAATAAATAAAACGGTTGTAAGCAATTGCGAATTCCAATTGCAAGTCATTTGTAGTGCATTTGTAAAACCTATTCTCTATCTACATATATTTCAAATCAATTATCAATTTCACTTTTGAAATTGACGTCCAAATCAAAAGTCAATAAATAAATATTTTTGAATAACTACGAGAAATGAAAAAAAATTCATTTTTGGGAAATATAGGTGGTTTTGCAGTAATTCGAATTTAAATATTTCTTAAACTGGTGACTAAGCCTAATCTTCAAATTTTCAACCTTAGATATAATTCTTTAGGACTTAAATTTTTACTGTGATATAAAAGATTACAGGTTTTATAAAAATCAAAAAAAAAAAAAGTTGTTTAAGAAAATATGTGGTGTTATTTTTAAATGTATTTCCTTTTTTATTTTATAAATCTAATTAAAATGCAAATTTAATGATAAAATTACAACTTTAAAGTATTACAAAATATCTATCGTTTCTCAAAGTTTAAAATTGGAAGTATTGTTATGAAATTATTTTAGTAAACAGTAAGTGACGGTATTTTATAGAGAAACAACTTTTTAAACTAATTACAAAGTTGGAAAAGTTTATGCTTTTTAACGTATTAACTTTTAAGTTAACTGAATTTACAGAAAACTAAGAATAACGTTGAGCCATTAACTGTCGTACGTCATTTAATTTAACTTAATTCGACTTGGTTAAAAAATATCATAAACTTTCCCATCCTCGTTGTGTTCTTTTGCAATTAGGCCAACATTTTCTTGTCGTTAGAGTAAAAAAGGCGAAGTTCCAACGCGAACAACTGTATACCATACAGTTACGTTTTAATGGAAACTGTACCGGATTTGAGATTTTAATTCCTCGCCCCTTCACCACGTTTTTGAATTTTTAGACGATACATGTTTAACTTATATTCTACTCAAACTGCCACGCATAAGAAAATCTTAAGTCAAAAATTTGTCTATGAAATGAGAGTTTTTACAGTGAACCAAATAACAAATGCCCATAATCTAATGGAGAATGGAGTAAATTGTTAAATAATTGCCAATTCTATAAGAAATTTTAAATAAGCCGCAATAAAAAATTAAAATATAAAAAGCTAATGAGTTTTCTAAATCTTATGGCGTATATAAAAAAAAATATACGTAATTAGTTATTTATAAATTATAATTTATATCCAATTAATTTTCAATTTTAAAAAGAAGAATGACAATTCACAAATGGCGATATTATTAATATATATTAAACATAATATGCCTAATTATAACTTCTATTTTATAGTATAAATATTTGCCTATACAAATATATATTTAATTTCCATTTATTTTTTACGTTCATCATTATGGTTATTTGTATCATTTAGATACCAAATAAAAAAGTAATTTGATATTTGTGTTAGTAAAATTCCCCGCAAAATCGTTACTTTTGATGTGCACATCTGCCCGTCATAAACATCAGCATCAATTGACCGATGTAGCTATCAAAACGTGCACATAAAAAAACAATATAATATCAACCCTTTTTTATGGTTTTTATTATCAAATAAAAAAGTAATAATAACAGTGATCATTGTAATAATTATTTCAGCTCGCACCCTAAATGGCTAAAATGGTAAATCTATGGTGCATATTACTTAAAAAAAAATTAAATAGATCAAACACAAAATTATACGGTATTAACTCTATGGAGCAAGAGTAATACTACCATTAGTCACAATTTACAATTTATACTACTTTTTTATAAAATTTGTGTTACATGTTTTATTTTCGCCATAACAATAACGTGCAGTATTACAATGGTTATTGATGATATTTAGGCAGGTCTGCACACATTGTTAATGTATATTTTTAATTTACAAATAATATATTATTTATATTATAATATTTATAATTCAAACTATAGTTAAATTTTAAATTTTCAAAATTGTATTTTATAGGAATTGTTCTTCACGTATTAATCTAAATAAGATCTGTTGAATGAATAATTATTAATAATTAATGTATATTGAATTCATCAATATTTAATTAATCTGGATTACAACTGAAACGCATATTGTATCTATAATTAAGCTACTCGTAATATTTGTGACTCATTTTATAGAAGAGATTGTGTTAAGTTTATGCAAATATCATGTTTAGGAAAGATCATTCAATAAGTGATAAAAATGTGGTTTAGCAGAAATGGGTCTGTTCGAAATTTAATTTAAAATACAAGACATTGTGAATGCCTATGAAGTTTATAAAAATTAAAAAACATAGTAGAAAACGCATACCCATAAATCTATTAAATATTTTTCCGTTACGGTAAATTCGATTATTTACAATATTTTAACATTGGAAGTTTCGTCTAAAAAAATCGCATTTTTACACCGCGACAAAAATGTCATTACTACGACGTTACACAGAACGGTGTTCTTTTTTATCAATAAAAATGGATATTATAATATCTCTAACCTCTGTAGTTTGGTAACTATAACTCACAGCATTTTACTGGGAGCGAATCCCTTTGTGTGGACGTATTATTATTATATATCCGTACACGTTTTTTGGCACGGTCCCGCGCCCAATTCACAGTGCAAAATTGATTTATTGGACAAAACGCCGTGCACAATTTAACACCGATGTCTTCTTATCTTTTTTTTGCATTCAGAGGGTGCGACCTTCATCCAAAACACGTGTTAGTGCACATCGCACAAAGGTCCGTCGGAGCAGTAATTCGGAAAACGACGCGGGATATATTTAAGGGCGGAGCCGGTACGAACGTATGAATCTCATATTTTACATTGTGTGAAAACACAAAATCAATTGTGAGAACTATTCTTGGGAACAAAACTGTAAATATTTTCCATACATGGGTGTATTTTATTCTTATAACGTAAATTGTTTGAGTAAACATTTTACCGATTAATAGGCGTGCGCAGAATTAAGTTCGGAGGGTGCATGTTATTATAATTGAGGTCCCAACATATTTTGATCGACCTAACATTATTACTCTTGTTTCATGTTTTGTTGTCATAATATACAACAGTGTCTCCTACGTGAAACCAAAAGAAACTCCCAAACACCCTCGACACCCCTATTCGTCGTCATGCAGGCCGCATTTGATGATCACGTTTTCTTGCGAAATAATAACCGAAGTGTAGTAAAGAGCTTGGTATTTATAAAAGTTTTTTTAAAATAAAATAATTTTCTGTTGTGCGAATATTATTGAAATTAGTAGTATAGTTCATTTACAGTGCATGAGTGACATTTACATTGCGTGTAATTATTTTAATACTAATTTCACCGTCACCGGACATGTAATTAAAAAGATATAGAATGGGCACATTTTAGAAGAAAAAAAAATCGTGCTCTATTGTTCATAAATTTTTTATGATTTTTCTCATTGTGTAACGAAACAAAATAACCGAGTAGATTAAGTTACATGAAATACGATTTGCGTCAGCTTAAAATGTTCTCTTTTCTTTTCGTTTGATATGCCTGTATGTAAATTTCCATAGGCTTATCCGTTGAAAAAGGACGCTCTATCTATCGCTATTCTTACACCGCAGTGCTTTGTCATATCACGATATATTATATTACCATATAAATAAGTTTTAGTATTACTGTATTAAAAAAATAAATCGAATGGTATAGTGGGTTTGCGTGAATGCAATCAGATATAAAATCGAACGACTTGAAACGATTTATCGATTAATAATATTAATAATAAAATATAATGTGTAAAGCAGAATTTGTGATTTTTAAAGTTCAACACTCATTATTAAATCAATTTTTCTTTTTTCGATAATTTAAGGTATGATATTTTTACAGTAAAAAAAAGTATATTATACTTTTATCTTTTTTTTTTTAAATAATTTAACTCTTTAATGACAATCATTGATGATGCATTCTTTTAACCGTAGTATATGCCTTAAGATGATGGATATATTATTACTATTCAACTCATTTCATCTTAACGTTAAGTATTTACAGACAATTAATATTGCTAGTTCTATAGTCAATTCGAATGCATTCAAAATTATCAGCAGAACATTGTGTTACAAAATACGAATACTACGTAAGTATGTAATTAAAAATGTATATTGAAAACAAAACTAGATTAAAACTTTTTAAGAAATTATTATGACAATAAAAAGTAGAAAAAATACATTGATAATCACGCACTACAGAAATCGATGAAGAAAATTAATGTTAAAAAAACCACTCTTTAAAACTACTGCAATAATAGTCAGTGACGTAAATTGTATAATACATATTGTATAATATTGTATTATACAGGCATATTATACGTCATGTATAAAAAAGTAAAATACAAGTGGTATATAAAAAAAAAAAAAATTCAGTGATAAGTGATAACAGTAATAAAACGACGGAGCACGGCCACACAAGTAACATGGTTATTGGTAGGTAGTTGCCAGTTGGCATCGATCATAGAAAATAGATTATACAGTATAAGCATCATTGTCTATTATAAAGAACTATTCTAGCCATAGACGATAGACCTATTAACTTAAGTTCCATGATTCTAGCTGATATATTTGTAAATCGTAATGATACATGCGATAAGTGCTAAGTCATAAATTCAAATCATAAGTCATAACCGTAGACAATAGACCACAGTATAATATACTAAATTCTATTAATTATTGATTTATTAATTACAAGCTATAAGTTAAAATTAATTGAAGTTCCTAAACGTTAGTTACTGTTTCTTTTTACTATGAGTCGACCTAATAATGTCTAATATTATTAATCTTACATTCTTATTACACTTTGACAGTTATATATTTAACAATTACGTAAACACCATAACATTTTTGTAAAATACTGTATTATACACGTATAATACATGTATAATACACGTATTATACAACTAAAAAATAAAATACAATATTTTTACATCACTGATAATAGTACGTACTACGATATTTTGATATGGAACTAATGCGCGTTACACAAGAATAATAGGCTATAAAGCAGTATTAGACCAACTACTGTTATTTTATTTTACACGTGATACATTCGAATGTGAAAGAGATATGATTAGGAATGTTGAATAAATTGTACATCGTCACCATTGTTTTGATATTATAATTTTTTTCTGTCGTGAAAACTATTTTACGACCGTAGTTAACTCGTTATCAACTGATTAAACACTAGTATATGTTGAGTGAATTCATTGTTATAACTGTTAATTTGTCATCGCAGACTATTTAAACAACGGCTTATAAATTAATATTTATAACACACGTTGCAGTACATGTGACGAATGATCGACACACATCTCGAGATTATTATTGAGATAGGAAAAAAATCTATTAAAAATATGTGTACAAAAATGGGCTCTATTGACGATGAACAGTCATTATACTTGTGCCAAAAATGTTCAATTAAAAACGATAAGAGTTACTCGAATGGGTTTCTAGTAGCTGTGTCTGAATGTGTAAAGTACTAGCCAAAACCGCCAAAACCACCAAATCTAGCTATTAAGTGTTGTAAAAAGTGAGTCTCAAAATGAATTGTTTGTACAACAAATTTGATATCAAATTTTATAAACATCTGAAAAGCTAATTAAAAAAACTTGTTGTAATAGAAAAGAAAACAACCGCTAAACTATTTCAATAAATTATCACTTTACGTAATACGTGTGTGGGTACATTACAATCAGCGGACATGAAATTTTCGAAACGTTTGAATTGTCGTTACCAAATACACATGATTCAAAAGTCGCATTTAAGATCTGTTTTAGAACCGTAGAATTCAAAATTTGTCAATTTTACCAAGTGGTAAAAGCGGCGGTCCGCAAAAAAACTAACAGATGTCGAGGCTAACCCTTTGGGAGGATTATCGGGTGATGCCGGTGACGGAAACGCGTGCGAGGGGATTCGATCGATCGGACGAACCACCGGTTAGGGTCGGCGCTAGGGTGCACGTGATTACTACCTGACTGCGCTGAACTCGGTGATCATGGCGTCCCGCGGTTGCCCGGACTCGTCGTAGCTGAACAGTATATTGGGCTTGCAGTAGTCGCCGTGGCATATGACTGCGTGCGGTTCCTTGGGCGTCACGGCCAGCTTCAGGTTGCGATCCGCCTCCCGGACGATGTTTAAGAACCCTTTGAGTTTGCCGTCCCGGTACTGCTCCTGTTCCATGAGCGGTCGAGCACCGCGCATGCTCAGTGACTTGAGCCCGTTGCTCTTGACCAGCCATCCGTCGTCGTCCCACTGGATCTCGCGCAGCTTGCCGACCAGCTTGCGGAACGCCACCGGGTTCTTCTGCTTGGCCGTCAGCGACATGCCATGGAACCGGCCCAGGGCCGCGATAGCCGCGGCCAAGTGGTCGTAGTCCATGTGCGTACCGCTGCTACCAGGCACCGGTGGTTCGGGTGCGCGGGCCACCGAGTACCCGGAGTCCAGCGGGTCCTCCAACACGATCACGTCCCCGGACCAGTGCGGGCCGCCCTCGTTGCGGCCGTACACGAACACGGGCACGGCGGGCGGTCGGGCCCCGTCATACAGGTGTTCGACCAGGAATGGCACCACGTTCTTATACGCGTAGATCTCGTTGTGGAACTGCCCGTCCGCCTTGAGCACGGTGCGCAGCTGCTCCACAGGCGGTTTCAGCTTGACCGTGAGCCGCACGTCCGTCTTTCGCGGGCCCCCGGGCACGGACACCCGGCCCGTGGCCACCACGCACGACAGCCGCTGCGTCTGCTTGGGCCGGGACGCGTGCCTGGGATCGCGATCCGGGTCGAACGTGGCCGGCCGGTCAGCGGTCGCGCCGTACGCGCCTTCGTCCGTCAGCACGCCGGACAGCCAGTGCTTGAGCGACTCGTGGCTAGTGTTCATGGTCATCGCTGCGGTGACTTTGTTGTTGGAACCGTATCCGTTCCGGGTCAGTCGGTCGACACGCGGTTCAGATATCACACGAGATCACCGTTCGCGACACTCGACGTGCGTCCTCTGCGGGTCCGACAACGGTCTCCGCGTCCTCGTCGAGACCGTTCCCCCGCCGCCGCCGCCCCAGTTAACCGACAACGTGCTGGCCGAGTGTTCCCCTCCTCCTCGTCGTCTGTGTTGCTACGGCTAAAGATTCGTTCGCGTCGCAGTGCACTCGACCCCCGACCACTCGAATACCGCGATAAACATAATACCACTTACACAGCTATTGTTGACATTGCGTGGCCATCCGATTGTTTCGACTCGAGCGAAACGTTACCGTCAACCGATGGCCGTGCTTTGCGTCAAGTAACTTATTCGACATCAATAATAGTGTTGCGAACACGATCGACTTTCGTTGAAAAACCCCATTTTAAACATAATGGGACGAGGACGCACGGGAAACGGAGGCAGTGGAATATTATCGTAACGATGTACGTTTATTCATAGTACAGATTCGTGTTGCAGTTTGGTCGGTAACCGCGGTTTTCACCGATCTAACGGTCGCAAACATTGTATTGTTCGCACAACGGTTCCGGGTTTCGAATCCGGTTGCACGGATGAAAATCGAATATTGACGCTCGGGATTGAAAGTTTTCGCGCTTAAGCTTAATCCGGGTCGAGTCGTATTCGAAGTTTCTAGCGACGGTGTTGAAACACGGATTTAATCGGCTTGACGTTTGGGAATAATGACGAGTTCAAAGAGAAATTAACATATTTTATTGTTAAGGAAGCATGCTGTCGTAGAAATAAAAATAAACCATCCTCACTCCCGGCGTCCAATAATAATATAATGACTGTACTAATAATATGCATGATGGGAAAAATTTTTGATCAACACGTTGTTCAATTACAATAACCGATATTTTTTAATTTTTTTTTTTTTATTTAATTTTAATTTTATTAATAAACATTCCTGTTGGATAAATCTATTCATTTATGTTGATTTTGATCAAACATTACGAGCACTTAATGTGGTCTAGTCGGTTAATTTCCCATCGCATTCAAACTGTAGAAGATACGTATGGTAATATAAAATAGTTACAATGTCATAACACGCGTCATTCGAATCCATCGAGTGTAATATAACAACAGCACTAATTGTGTTTATTGGATTGATAACGTTTTAGTAATTGTTTTTTTAGCATCATTGTTATTACACTTATTGTTCTAATATTTTATTGTCATGTGTTTTGTGTTTAGTTTATCGTATAAATGATTTACGTCCTCGGTAGAAATAATAACTATCGAAAAAATCAGATTAGTCTCTCCTATATTTATTTCTGAAACGATTATTCGTTTATGGAAAAGCATCATAAGTACACTCGAATTAATTTCTTCGAAAATACACTCATAGTTATCATACATTGTATTTTTATAGTTATTTTTTTTTTTGCTTTGATATTTTCTGATTTTGTTTTGTGTAATTCAAACCGCACAGTGAATAAATCCTACATTCCATTGTCTTATACAACCACACGATTATCTGATATTTCACACATTCAATTAGTAAAAATGTTTTTCATTTTAATACGTCGTTTGAGATTAAAGTGGGTAAAATATTTTATCAATAATTTAATTATAGAATATATACTGTAAGAATATACGATAATTCAAATATTGCAACTTTCCTACTGATCTTTGAAAATAAAAAAAAATTTGTTAGAACAATAAAATTTTAACGAATTTAATAAAAAATATATATACCCTTTCAGGTAAGCTAAATTAAATATGACCTGATTAAATATGTCAAAAAATTTCATATTATATTCCTACTGTTCCATTTTATACTGCAAATCTTTATAATCTTATGCATTTTTGTGACAATTTATTATTATCAAAGTAATGTTACACTTTAGAGTTACTACAAATTAAGTTCAGTACAAGTAAAAATTTAGATGTATTTTTAAAACGTCGACATTGCTTATAATTAAACAACTAATATAATTTTTGAAAATGTCCATAATTGTGCATTAATATTACCGCCCGTGTTGAGAAAATAATATGCCATTTAATTTAATTTACGTAAAAATAATTAATAATAACTTAAAAGAACCAAATATTTCGAAACAGGTAATTTTTATCTAAATATTTTTTTTTTTTAATTTGATTTTAAAACATTTATTTGTTGTACAACATAGTTATATATTGGAAAGGAATATAACAACAAAAAACGATTTCTTATCACTCCTTAAAAGTTATAAACTAATGGTTAGTTATAATTAAAAGTTCAATACTAAAAGTAAATTATACTTTTTTGAAAATACAATTTTTTTAAATTAAGAGTGATTATATTTATGCCGTAGGTATTGGTTAAACAAAAAGTTATTAAAATAAACATTTTATCGTATTCAAGGTCTAACGTGAATTCCATTTGTTAAAAAAGTGGTCAGCCTGTAAACATTTTACTACCTCTTTTGTGATAAACAACATGACAAATGTACTTAAACGCACATCACTATATACAAGTTAAACACAATGACCATTCTCTAAACTCACTTAACTATCAATAATAATGGTTGATAACACAATTACTACGGGTGCACTTAACAATAATTGATGATCTGTTATATTTTAGCAAATAACTTTTTAAACTTATCCAACATTTATAACAAATGTTTTCATAAGTAAGTATATGTAAATTAAATTACCATGGCCTTCCATTATAAAAAGTAACTGACGTGGATAGAAAATAAACCAATAATAAAATTGAAGCAAGTAATTACATTCCAATAGAAAATGTTTGTATTTTATTGCCCTTGCCTTTTGTAAACCTTTATAAGTAATACGTTAAATGTAGAAATAATTAACATTTAAACAGTATACTGGTACTTGTATTTTGTTTTTAATGTTATTGATATGCAAAATATTGTGAACAATTACATAAAAAGTATTTTATGTTTGGAAACTATTATTTGCATTATTTTATATCTTTAGCATTATTTATTATCTACGAGTTTATTTAATTTTAAATGTTAACATTGACTAATTAAAATTTTTATAAAAGTTACACTGAAACTTTAATATAGTAGAATAAATAATTTATGTTAAATTTTAATACTCGTCTAAAACAGCATATGATTTGAACAATTACATTTATGAAATTGATGAAAATTAATTTTGTCATCTTATCAGAAAAATAAATAATAGAACAAAAATATCAAATACTTATGATATTTAATAATAAATGTATATACAATATACTAATTTAAATAGTTTTGACAGCAAAATAAGAACCTTAACTTTTACCTAATTAGTAACCTAATCCAACTACAACGATAGATGACAAGTGTCGCTTATAGCAAATAGCTTTTGAATAAACGATATCATAAGTATCTTATAATGATGTTTATGATACCGTGGTCATTGGGTCACTTCGTTACCAAATAAATCATAGGTATTACCTACCGAAACATCCGAGTTGGGTCTCGAGTATTAGGGGCTAATCGCAAGTACTACACTAGTCGGGTCCCGGATTTTTATAGGTATTACACTAGTTCCTGAATACTTTTTGGTAAGTACTACATTATACTAACATTTTTCTTCTCATTTTAACAGACTTAGGACTGTCTATAATCTATTTAGACCACAAGTATGGTTAAAAATGTTTTTTATGGTTTTTTTCTTATTTTTAGTTTCTTTTTTATTAACTTTTAAGTATATTATATAATGATTTTAATATTTTTAATATTTTTACCAACACAATTCTAATAATTAATATTTTAATGGAATAAAAACTAAAAAAAAAAAAAAACTATGAAAAACATTTTTAACCATATTTGTGGTCTAAATAGACCATAGACAGCCCTAAGTCTGTTAAAATGGGAAAGAAAATGTTAGTGTAATGTAGTACCTATCAAAAGATATTCAGGAACTAGTGTAATACCTATAAAAATCCTGGACCCAACTAATGTAGCACCTAAAAAAATCGGGACCCAATTTGGATTTAGTATTACCTACGACTTGCCTATGCTATTATTACAAGAAGGTAAATAATTATTTCTTAGAAAATAATAGAATTTTTAACATTTTTTTTTCATGTTGAAAATTAAAAATATATTTTTATAAAGACGTATTTATTAAAAACAAAAAGCATATAATAATTTCATAATTTTTGTCACATATTTATTTATTATTAGATTAATGTCATTTATCATTAAGCCGTAAACGTAGATCGTACATACCAAATATGCTGTTCATTTTTCTTTCCCAAAAGGGTTATTTTTCAAAACGTCAGTCCCAAAGTATGCAAGGCATAGTTACTTACAGACAAACAAAAATTCAAGGTGCAGATTATATTGTGGGGCCACGGGAGTGATAAAATGAACTTGATTAAATTTCAGTCAATCTACATACGATATGTTAAATATCAAACCAGGTAATATTTTTCTCAAATTAATGATAATATTTTGAAATATTAAACTAAAATAATTCTTTCAAAAATATTTATTACTGTTTAGTTTGTTCTTCATCTCATAACATAGGTCATCCAAAAATAGAATTTGAAGATTGAAGTGACAGATTCAAAAGATGAATATCATTGGAATTATCTCAATTACATAGCTCAATTAAATTAATCTACTATATCTACGGTATTAAGAAAAACGATAATGAAAACGCTGCTAAATTTATTAATGAAATTACGCACACTACACTAAATAAAGCTAAAATGATTCGAGTACTATGGAAGAGATAAAAAAAAAAACATAAATCCATCTTTTATGTCAACAGAGGAAGCAATTTCGATAATTATAACTACTTCTCTATCAAAGTTTCAGTAAAATATGTTAAGAAGTAATGCAAACTGGTATAGATGAAAATGTAAGTAATAAATTTTACATAATTTTTCAAAATCCATCGAGTTGCCATAAATTTGATTTTAAGTAATTTGTTAAAAATTGTTGGGAAATAACAGAGAGTTATATAGTTCATACCACCTAGTATTCACAACTTTTTTTTTTTTCAATAGCCGCTTCATTGATATAACCAATCGGCAAATTAAGTGAAAAAGCATTAGAAGCTAGAAAAAAAAATGTCAACAATTTTAGAGAAAATTATACACGAAAAATATCACGAAAAAACACAAATTCAAATATTTTTCATAGTCTGTTTTTATCTTTAGATTCATTAATAAATAGTAATCGGGAAGTAAAAACGAAAAAACGAAAATTATATCAGTCAGTAAAAGACCTGCTTATTACCGATGACATTGAAACCGAAAGTGAATCAGAGCAAATGATAGTAGTGAATGTGAATAAAATATATTATTACATTTATTTTATGTGAATATTTTTTAAAGCAAACTCTTGTTTGATTAATAAAAAATAAAATGTATTATTAAGAATTAATTTTTTAAACACTAAATCATTTAAATATTTCGGCCACTTTTTTTAAATTTTAGACTACTGTGCGGCGGCGAGATGTTCGGCGTTGAACTGTTCTGTGATGAATAGTTCTAAGGCGAAACGGTCATGGTAAATTAGTTGCGGCGAAATATCCGGATTCGTCAATTATGTTATTAACAATAATATTAGAGTATAAATGGTATATTTTTGTTAGTTTGTTACCGACGACATTGTCTTTCGGAGAAAAAAAAACCACAATTACTCAAAATAACTTATCAATACCGCCGTTCAGGACAATGTTAATGATGCCGACTGGACATCGAGACTATGGTGTTGAACGTGGGGTACTGAAGTCAAAGAGCAACGTGTCCACCGGACGCGCATGGCCGTCGTAACGGAACATCACGTTGTTCCGGTTGAAGTTTCCATGACACACAACCGAAAACGGTTCACGGGGTTCGATCGCTTATTGTAGCGAGCCGCAATCGGTTTCCATCATCAGTTTGATGAAACGATCCAAGTGATCGTGGTCGCGGTACAGATGACCGCTGCATTCCAATAGTCTGTCCACTACGCGTTTTCCAAATTTTCACATCGTGTTGTTCTGCAATAACCAGTTATCATTGGTATTCCGAAACCTGTCCAATATATTGGTTATAACTTGACGAAATCCCTATGGATCTTTGTGTTTAGCCACGTACGACATCCCCTGGAATCTAATAGTTAAAAAACACATTATTAATATCTTCCATGTGTAATATCACTGATTCCAGAATATATCATCAAAAATTCGAAGTATCCAAGAAATTTGGACGCAACCTATAAACGTTATTATATTTATTTATATTTGACTCATTACAAATTTTAAAATAATTATTATACCTATAATAGTTTATAAAATAACTGATATTTTCAATTTTCATGATAACCATTTACATTAAATACACGTCATCTTCAAACAGTGGTGAATAACTATTAAATAAAATGACAAGATACTTCATATTACCACATATTTAAAATAATTTAAATATATAGATCAAATAAATAAATTTTAAATCTTTACGAAATTACTGGTCATATTTAAAAACAAAAGTGTAGGTATTTTATGAAATAAAATATAGAATAAGAAAATAAGTTTATATTTGTTTATTTTTTTTATCTAAGTTAATTTGAATCCATAAGCTCATTAAATATCATTACCATACTGCTTTGTGAATTTTCTTATTTTTTGGTTCATGCATTTTTTGATAACATTGCGATAAAAATGAAAATGAATCGATTACGAAGTTTTATATACTTATTAATGTAGTATAGGTTTTGATTTTTGAACTAGATTTTACAAACACACGCATACACATAAGTATAAATGTGTTACAGTTTAAACCCTAAATTCGTCAAAACTAGTTTTAACTAGTCAATATTAGTTTTCACAAATCAATTTCATCAAAAATGATTTTGACTAGTGAAAACTAGAATTAATCAGGACTTCAATGTTAACATTAATTTTAAAATACAATTTTGTAACAAAAGTCAATCAGAAATAAAATTTATTTTTATTATTTGTTTTGACAAAGCAAACTATCATGGTATTTATACCATAGTTCTTATCATATTTTTTATATATAGTAGATATATCATATATTATATATTATATTACCTATATTATATTTATATATTATGATACAGTTAAACATAATAAGAAAGAGATTTGTGGAAGTAATATTCTATTTTTTGACATACTGTTATATTTTGCAGATTTTATAAATAATTGTATTACTAATTAATAAGGCTGAGATTTTATTGCCCCAAAATTGGCAAAAAAAGTTTTAAAAATATTTTAAAATGCTTTAAAAATCATAAAAATTCGTTTAAAAATGTATTTATTGTATTATAATACTGACGTTATAAAAATTATGTTGCCAAAGATATTTAATTATATTTATTTAACATAATAATAACAAAATAGGTGCACAAAACGTGGTATTCACTTTAGGGCACATTTAAAAAGTTTACGAAAGGAGTAAAATTGTACTTAAAAGTATTCAATGTATGTTAGCATTTATAAAAGATAATAGTTTAGTTGAAGTATATCCTTATATTGATATTGCTCTAAGGATGTTACTATGTATGTACACCTTCAGGTAATTGTTCAACAGAAAAATCATTTTCTACATTAAAAAGGGTCAAAACTTATTTAAGATCAACAACGGGAGAAAATCGTCTTAACTAATTAACAACCCTCAACATTGAAGCTGATTACTTGAAGCTGATTGAAAACTATTAATTTTAATAATATTATTGAACATTTTTCTTCTCAAAATTCAAGAAAAAAATTATAAGCTATCGATTGTGTTATTATATATAATTAATAATAAATATAATATATTTAATCTAATTATAAATATATATAATAAATAAATAAATAATAAATAATAAATATGAATAAATATATAATAAAATTAGTAACAATAATGATGTTCTAGTTTATTTAGTTTAACTAATTAAAAACTAGTTTTATTTTAATACATTTAAATGTAATAATATAATAATTTAAGTGATATCTAATGATTTAAAAAATTAAAATTGATTTTTTACTTTTTGTATAACTTAAGTACTCGTATTAAGTTTTACTAACACTTTACTAATTATCAATTAATTTATTATACATATATAGTTATGATAAAAAATAATAAAAACTATAAAACATTTAATTATCATATATCAATATATTTATGCATATTTAATATATATATTTATATTATTATTTAATAATTTATATGATTAAATGGGATTTTATAAAGACCCTTTAATAACATAGTGAATTTAGCTTTTTTTATTATAAGTAATTAGGACGAGAAAATATAAATATAAAAAAATAAATAATTACAATACTAAAGGACAAACAAATCAAAATTGATTTAAACAATTTTATAATGTTTGATTTTAAAAACAGATTTTATAATTATATTATTGACAAATAATTAGTACACTTAACTAATCATATTATTAATAATATTGAATTTACTCACTTCGCTCAGGCTTGTATTGCATTGTCCAAAAACAATCGTTTTTGGCTTATACGAAATTCTAAATATTTAACATTTTCCAATACAATCATATCACTTTCGCTGAATTTGCCACATCTATTAAGACCATAAAAAAACCATGGTAAAATTGTTGGTATTAAATCATAACAGTTTAACAGAAACAGAATGATCTTATTGTACATGGTTATTTCGTTATGAATTGTAAGTCAATATTTAATTTTTCACGAATTTTCTTACTTTCTGGTTTCAACTTGATCATAACAAGAAATTCCGATTTATCAGATTTAATTACATTACCAAATACAGGAAGAGACACAAATTGATCGGTCACTGTGCAATCCTTGTCTTATTCAAATGACACAAAGTCTAAATTTTTTCCAAACTCGCCATTGGCCACAATCGCAAAAATTATTTTTTGTAAAAGTGATTCCATTTTAATTTTTAAAAGTACACTTCGACCCAATATTATATGAAAGACCTAATTAAATCTTACCCATTCGAGCAATCATTACTAATTATTTTCAGTTATTTCAAACTTAATATATTACTATCATTTGGGAATGTCTGTAGCAAGAGCATACCCAAGGAGAGGGGTCGGGTCCAAACTCCCCCCCCCCATTGAAATTTTTACATACTCAATGATTTAATAGTAAATAGTATAATAATAGTATATAGTATATTTTAATTTCCCATAATCAGATAAAATAAAAATTTTGAACCTACCCCATACAAATTCCTGGGTACGCTCCTGGTCTGTAGCATCAGTACTACAGATAGGTTTGTGTTTAATTTAAATATATACGCTTTATGAGTATTTTTTTTAGTATGGGAAAATTATAAGTTATAAAATTATAATTATAATGTTCTGAATGGCAGTCAGGCGATCACTAAGGTGCGTTTTCATATCTACTGTTATTATAATTTATCTTTCAGGATTGAAAATTATCTTGAAATAATAAACAATATGTCATATAATGTTATAATTTTAAATAATTTCTAGCTTTCTTTATCGAATGGGAAAACGATAATATTATATGAGTTTGATAAACATGAAAAATATTGATCGGTCTGCGATTTGGATTAGTCCTTTTTTTGTAGATATTTTTGGGACACAACACTAGTATGCAGCCGTGTACCCTGACAGACAGTGGAATCCGAATCACGGATGTAAGCGTATAATGTGACCTACATGATACGTCATGTCGCTTGTTACATATATAGCATATTCGAATAGAAGTATCGTCAAGATATGAAATGCTAATAATTATACGACACAACAATAACCATAGTGTTCACAGTGTCACCTTTACGGGAGTGATGCTGAAGATATATTCCTCCGTAAAGTTTTTGTTCCCTTTGTATAACAGTAACTACGGTCTTTACCAGAATAATCTAATAGAGGAAATACGTTAATAAAAATTGCCATTTGAACGCTCATTTTAGCGCACTTCGCTGATGAACGCCTATGCAATGTAATTCGAAACAAATCCACAAGACCAATAAAAATATTTATGATTGTTCTATTGAACATCAATAATGTATCTCAGTATTGTTACCATACATTGGTTTTCATATAACATAACCGAATGAATGATTTTTTAACCATGAAACAAAATTGTAATAAACTATGTAACTTTTTGAGAATAAAAAATAAAATTGCATACCTCATTTTTATTTATTTTGAATTTAATTTAATTTTTAAATAATAATTACTATTGTTAAAAAATCAAGAGAAAGAGAAGTTTAAAAAGCTAGTTTAGTTCTGTTTACCAATAATTAATCTATATGCTAACATTTCTGAATTTAACACATATGGAGTCATAAAATAATTACGGATAACAAAACTTTAATCTTCTCAGGATTACACCACTCGCGATCGCAGGGGGAGATAAGGAGTTCAATGAATGCACAAAATATCAAAAAAATGTCATTAAAAATTATTTGACCTAAAAATTTAATAGTTATTTCAAAGTTTCCCAAATAACTTGCAAATAAAATATATTTATACATTATATAATGAGTAATAAAACATGTTATTTATCAACATTTTACAAATTTCAAACCTCCCCCCTGTTTGAAATGTTTTCCTTCGTTTGAT